TGCCTTTTCGGGCCAAGAACAGTCCAAAACGGCCCAAGAGGCTCCTAAGATCGCCCCGAGACGGCCCAAGATGCACCAGAAAGAGCCCGAAAACGATCCCAGAGGGCCCCAAGACAGCCCCAGAGGGGCCCACAACTGCCCAAGAAGGCCCCAAGACGGCCCAAGAGGGCCCCAACAGGCCCCTAAGAGAGTCCCAAGACGGCCCAAGGCGTCCAAGACGCCCCTAGACGGCCCAAAACGGCCCCAAGACGGCCCAGAATTCCCCCAAAAGGGCTCCCGAAGGGCTCCAAAAAGGCCCCAAGAAGACTCAGACGAGGCCCAAAAGACGCTCAAGAACACCATGACTCCCGTCAGCGAGCGGTGACGTAACATGCTCTTGACACCAAGGCTCCCCATAGCGCGGTGACGCACAAAGCTCGTCACACCAAGGCTCCCAAGAGCGAGCGGCAACGTAACAGTCTCTGAACACCAGGGCTCCCGACGGAGAGCGGCGACGTAACAAGCTCTTCACACCACGGCTCCCAAGAGCGAAAGGTGCCATGAACCCTCTCGGGCCAATTCCTGAAGCGCTCTTTCCGTTTCCGTGCCGGCCCAAGTATCTACTGCTCAAGTCTACCAGCCTTCTGGGCGTAGGTGGTCTAAGGTGTTTCCTCTTCCACCTTTCTTGTTCCTTTTTCGGGAACAGGGCCCCTGGTTGCTCCACCCTGCCCTTCGCCTCAGCCACTGGTTAGACCAGCCAGACCCACCAGACCAGCCAGACCAACCTAAGCTCAAGCTCTAGCAGCGATGTTACAGCGATCTACCCGTCTCCGACGTGTGCGCTTCAACCATCCTTGAACCTCCCCCAACCACGCTGGGCTCGCCCGCGGAATCCAAAACTCACGCTCTAGCAGTGCCACTACAACGCAAACAAAAACTGCAATGCAAGCAGAACTGCAATGCAGAAAACAACTGCTTGTTTGTGGTCGTAGTCGCCGGCGTGTGCGCTTCAACCCCTTCTGAATACACCTGGGTTTTTTAGCAGTCCAATCAACCCAAACGCTGGCCACACTGGTCAGACTACTCAGACACCGGCTAGACCAGGCTGACCAACCCGACCAGCCAGACCCCCAGTCGCACCTCAAGCTCTAGCAGCGAAACTACAGCGCAAAACATTGAATGGAGAAAAGACTGCAACACTGCAATGCCAAACAAATGTGATGGCCACCCGGACACTAGTCTACCCAGACACCAGCCAGACTGGTCAGGCTACCCAGACACCAGCTAGACAAGCCATACCAACCAGACCAGCCAGACAAACTTAAGCTGAAGCTCTAGCAGCAAAGCTACAGCGCAAACCACGTAATGAAGAACAACAACACTGGAACCAAACATGCAATGCAACATCAACTGCAATGCACAAATAACCGTCGTGGTTGCCTGCGTGTGCGCTTCAACCCCTCGTGAACCTCCTCAAACCACGCTGGGCTCGCACGCGGAATTCAAGCTCAAGCTCTAGCTAGCACGCAAAATCGCTGGCTCAGCGAGCAAACAGCTTGGCTCCATCAAGCAAACAACTTGGCCCATGGCCCAGGTAGCTACCCTCCGCCTCCGAGACAAGTGGACATTGTTGGTAAGTTCACCGGTGGAACTCGCGGGGCAGAGGCAGGCAGTGTAAACACTGCAGATGACGAGATGGCGAGGCACAAGGGCACGGTCGACGTGGACGAGGTGAGTTTCCTTACGAAGATCAGCAACATGTACGACACGGTCATGGAAACCAGCACGGAGATGGCCCAGGTGGCGCACAATGCGATGCAAGCAAGTACAACTGCCGAAACGGTGATGACGGGCATGAAGAACATCAAATGAAGAACATCACATAGAACATCGAGACCATCAAGCTCGCGTTGCAGATTTTACAGCAGGAGCTTGCAGCTTTCAAGGCTTCGGCTTCGACGGCATCGCCAGGATCATCATCACATTCACAAGTCAAATGGGACAACGAAGAAGTAGCGCGCACAATTAGTTTTGGGAGTTTTCAAAATATACGAAGTCGGCAGAAATTGTGACGTTCACGGAGGGGGTTCTTGCGGATGTTAAGGGTGATGTCGACGAGCTTTTCGCGCACTGCAAGAAGTTTGTTACTCGCGGAGGCGCTCGACTCACATAATTAGACACCACGTGCAAAATATATGAAAGAAAATGGGGGGAAACATGTTCATGACTTCAAGGGCCAGAGAGCGTATTGCAACGCAAGCTCGAAATTCAAAGTCGCCACCTCAGAGGACGCCCAAAGAGAGAAAGCAATTCGCAAAATGGTCCGTACCATCATCGAGAAGAGTGGGGGGGGTGACGGGAAAACTATCAAAAACATTATTGGCACCAATTACCGGAAGGGCGTTGTTGTGGAGGGATGAGCGCGTAGCCGAGTGGAAGGGCAGAGGCATGAAGCTTTCGGGGCACCAGCAAGGTCAGAGGAACATCCTCGCAAGCTTTGTGACCCGTGAGGGGCGGAAGGCGAGCTCGCTGAGGATCGTCGAGGGCACCAGCACAAGTACATCTGCACGTACATCATTATCTCAGAGGGTCAGTTTAGATCCTGGCGGACCTCTCGGCAGAGGAGGGGGGCGGGGAGTTTACAGAGACGTAGATGGCGATTTGCCCGTCTCTTTACGCTTGCCCGCAAAACCTGGAGAACAAAATGTGGGCACCGACGCTTGCAATCAGGACTGTACGATCAAAGCTTTCACATGGAATTCATCATATTCTGTAGAGAACTTGCTTGACATGCTAAGTATAGGGCGGGATGGGATTGGAACGTGCTTCCTCTGCAGGAGGGGCCCCGATAGCAGAAAACTACCTTGCAGGAGCTCCACGGAGGACACCTATTCTACACAGTGGCTGCTGCAGGCTGCTACCGGGGCACAGCCATACTTCATAATTCTTAACAGGCGCTGGGCGAAGGACAGCAGCGAACTTTCAAGCCCAAACGGGCGCATGGCTGTTTTGGATATTCGATTGCACGGCCGGGAATGCCGATTCATTTCTGCACATTGCCCGCATGGGGGAGACGATGAGGAGGACAAATATGTGGAGAGCCTCGCAGACATTGAATCTTACGTCAATCTCGGCTGGAGACAGCAACGATCGACTTTTGTTGGGCTCGATGCGGACGTTGTGATTGCCAGGCAATGCGAGTGGGACAATCCAAAGCTGATCGGCAAATGGGGCTTGGGACGGAGATGTAAGCGAGTGTAGGTATTCGCTGAGTGGGTGCAAACGAGCAAGCTGGTTGCAACCAACACGCACAGACAGAAGCAAGATGATGCCAGGCGGACGCACCAGAGATAGGAGACAGGAGAGAGACGGCAAATCGATGTCATCTTGCGCGATAAAGCGATGGTGTCTGCTTTCGTCGATGCGGTGGCCCACGATGGCATCGATTTCGTGTCAGACCATCGTTGCTTCGGATTCAAGAATGCTCGGAGGCCCCGGAAAAAATCCAGGAGTGGGAACGTTTCGAAACAGAGGGGGTGGAAACCACAACTGGATGATAATGACACGCCGTCAAACTATCATGCTGCACTCAAAAAAATCACCCAGAGGAAGCCTGAGACAGTGGAGGATCTCGAGAGAACGATGGAGCGAGCAGCGTCCGATGCAGGTACTGGAGCCAGCGCGCGGTCTGCATCATCTACAGCATGGGAATCCTGAGGAGAGAGGAGAGGCTCCGGGCGCTCATCGAGCAACAAAAGGTGTCGCACGCGGAATTCAATCTCAAGCTCCAGCAGCGCCACCAGACCACAACAAAAACTGCGATGCAAAACAACTGCAATGCAAAAAAGCAAGAATTGTGCCGTTGTAGTCGCCAGCGTGTGCGCTTCAACCCCTCCTGAACCTCCCAAAACCACGCTGGGCACGCACGCGGAATTCAAGCTCAAGCACCAGCGGCGCCACTACAGCGCAAAAACAAACCGCAAAGGAAACAACACCCGCAATGCAACAAACACTGAAATGCAACAACATCTTGATTTGAGATGTCGTAGTCCCTGGCGTGTGCGCTTCAACCCCTCCTGAAAATCGCCAGCGCGTGCTCTTCAACCCCTTCTGAAACTCCAGAAGCCACGCGCTGGGCTCCCACGCGGAATTCAAGCTCGAGCTCCAGCAGCGCTACTACAGTGCAACAAAAAACTGCACTGCAAAAAACGAATGCTATACACAATCAATTGCAATGCAAACGAAAATTGTTTTTGAGTTCTAGCCGCCAGCGTGTGCGCTTCGACCCATCCAGAACCTCCCCAAACCACGCTGGGCTCGTACGCGGAATCAAAGCTCAACCTCTAGCAGCGCAACTACAAATCAACAAAAACTGCCAAGGAAAAAGACTGTAACGGAAAAAAAATGCAATGCAAACACATTGTTTTTGTGAGGTAGTCGCTAGTGTATGCGCTTCAACCTCTCCCGAGCCTCCTGAAACTACGCTATTCTCGCACGCGGAATCTGGAGCTCAAAATGTAGCATCCGAAGTTCAAGCTCTAGCAGCGAAAGAGCGGAATTTATGAGCTGAAGCATAAGCCCCAAGCTTTAAGCTTGCTCTGTTGAAGTTTGGCTTCCCGCCGCGCGCTACACAGCTAGCACAGGATCTTGTTCACCTACCTCGCGAAGCTCGCAGCTGCAGATGGTCGGGTCCTTCGCCAAGCTAAATTGCACCTGCTGTCCCAAGGCTCCAGACACTTTTCAAGGGGGTAGTGATGCGACCCAAATCCGTTCAAAAGCGGTTTTAACCGAAGAAGCACACCCGGATTAGAGTCCGTTGTTTGACAGTTCGCGGAAACGCCCGTCTGGTCACGTCACGATTCGCGCTGGCGCCGTGTCGGAATTGGCCATTCTTGGGCATTCCTGGGCGGGGCCAGCGCGAATCGTGACGTGACTGGCCTCGTCCTTCCCTCCGCCTGGTCAGGCCCGTTATTGCGTGGCGATTGCAAAACATGTCTCGAATCGTCGGGGATCTGGGGGGGCTAGGCCTCCCGGCTTGGGGGGGGGATCGCCCGGCACACCGCCGCGGAACCCACGCCGGGTCGGCCCTCGAACGCCGTGGACGCGTTCGGCGCCGCCGACAGGTGGCAGGACTTGTCCTTGTGCGGTCGTCGATGTCGTCGTCGTCGTCGACGTCGACGTCGTCGTCGTCGTGGTCGTCGTCGTCGTCGTGGTCGTCGTAGTCGTCATCGTCGCCACCGCGGTCGACGTCATTGTCGTCGTCGTCGATGTGGTCGTGGTCGTCGTCGTGGTCGTGGTCGTCGTCGTGGTCGTGGTCGTGGTCGTGGTGGTGGTGGTCGTCGTCGTCGTCGTCGTCGCCGTCGTCGTCGTCGTCGCTGTCGTCGTCGTCGTCGTCGTCGTCGCTGTCGTCGTCGACGTGGTCGTTTTCGTCGTCGTCGGCGGCGTCATCCGACGTCGTCCCCGTCCGACATCGTCGTCGTCCGAGGATTGAGGCGCTGGGCTCGAGGCCTGTGCAGGTTCTTGTGCCTTCTGGGGCCCCTGGGGCATTGGGGGGTCTCGGCGGGCTTGGTCGTCGCCGCGTTCGAGAAGGAGGAACGACAATGAAGGAGGAAGGAGGATAGAAGAGGAGGAGGAGGAGGAGGAGGGGGAACAGAAGGAAGGAGGAGGGAGGAGGAAGGAGGAAGGATGAGCGAACGTCCGCAGAGGGGGGCGATCGATCCGATCACGGGCGACCGAACGGCCCCGCGCCACCCGGGGGGCAAGCAGGCAGCCTCAGAGCACGGCTCGCGGCGGCGACAGCCTCGGTGTTGTTGAAATTGTTTTCCTGGAGGTCCACCGCCCTGACCTCGGTGCCGGAGGTCGGGAGGGGATTCGCGCAGTTCTGCAAGAAGATGCGCATCAAATCGACGGTCTTGTAGAGTACTGCCATGCGCGCGATGGCGTGGTCAACGTCACTCTCGCCATCGGAGTCCTCGCCATTGAGCCCCATGCGCTGGACGGTGCTGGCGGAAACGATGCTGGCGTAGATGAGACCACAGCCGCGGGCAGGTGAGGTAGTGCGCAACGTCGTCAATGTTCTGCTTGCTCTGGACAACCAGGCAGCCGAAGATGCAGTTGAGCTCGTGCGGGTGGGCGCGCATGCGGTAGTTGGTTGCCCACGCGCCAGACAGCGTCCCGAGGACTGGCCAGAGCTTCGAAGGAGGAACGCGAGAAAGATGTTGGCGTAGCGTCGCCAGTTCGGGGGCCAACGACGACGGCCAGTTCTGGATTCCAATCAAATCCGCGGGCGGGTTTCCATCGCCACCACGCGCAGCATCGTCAGGGAGCCACTGATCTTCATCACGTATATCCTCCGCGGGCAGCCAGTGACGGCGCGTGCGCGCGGTGCTCAGCTGCTTCTTCGCCGCGTTCTCGTTTGATGGCGGCAGACGGATGCACGGCCAGGTAGATCATGATGCGGCGGCTGCGTGCGCGTGCAGCGGCGTGCTAGTTCCTCTCGCACATGTCAACGGCTGTCTGGCGGAGGTCGTCGCCGTCTTTACAGGGGCCTAGCAAGTCGAGGAACTGCGGGCGGCGGAAAACGCCAGTCAAGCACGGGACGCACCACTCCACCCAATCGGTGTTGTCGTCGGCGTTTGGGTTCACGAAAACACTCGGAATCTAATGTGAGGCCCGCGCTTCGGCACGTTCGTTCATGTAGCCGATGGATTGTTCGGATTCGGGGTCCAGATGAAAAGGCTGGTCTCCTCGAAGCTCATGGTAAAAGACGAGAGCGTTGCTGAAACCCAGAAAATGGAACAAGGCCTGAGGCGCTTGATGATAGTCCTGCCGGAAGCGTATGACTATAATGTTCTGAAGTTCGAGTAGATACGCTTGTTGAAGGGGTTTCGGCTTCGATGCTTGCTCTTTGCCTCGGGCCTTGCCGCGGCGCTGAGCCCTGTTACGACCCTCTCCCGATAGCGCAAGTCCTGTGTCTTGGGCCCTGCCACGACTCTGGGCACTGTCTCGGCCCTCTCCTGGTAGCGCCAGTCGTCCAGCAGCAGCGGTGCGGCGGTGGGCGGCTTCGGGTGCATGGGTGGCTCTCATCGGCGTGCCCCGCGAGCGCTCGAACGTCTTGTCAATCGACCCTTTGCACGTCGGGGAGCCGATTGTTCGCAATCATCTCGTCGCGCTGCGCTGTGGGGAGCTTGATCTCCCAGCAGTCGGCGCACCAGCGTCCCTCGATAACTCTGCAGACAGGAATACGGTCTTCGGCAACAGCGCGATGGAGAGGAAGAAGGCGGGGCTATGTCGTCAATGTATTCGTGGCTGCGCGCCACATCGCCGCCCCAGTCCAACGTTTGTCTGGAAAAAGTGTCCATGTTGGTGAAGCTGGAAGGAACGGCACGAATACGTCTGTGTAGCGCGTGCAACGCTTTGGCGAGGAAGCGCGGCGAGGGCGGGTACAGCTGGCCGAGGCTCGAGTGGCAGATAACTGCGGCGACGATGCAAACCTTGGTGCTTTGATGGATGGGCGAGCGGGCGTTTCCGAGGACTTGGGCTTTGTCCCACCACTCGCTGGAGGGGCCCATCCACTGCGCGGAGAGGGAGAAAGAGAGAGAGAGAGGAGCCGGGACCAAAGATCGCGCCGAGGTACCTCGCCTGGCTGGCAATCTTGAAGCTGCGCCAAGGCAGGTTGACATCGGCGGGCATCCACTGCATCTGCTGCGTGGGCTGCGGGGTAGGAAGCGTCCAAGTAGGAACGCAAATGTATTTGCTGGCCTGCAGGCGGGGCCTGGCGAAGAGCTGATCAACTTGTGGACGTGGTAAGAGCGGTTCGATGTCGCGGAGGGCTGCCAGGATGATGCCCAGGTCGTCAGTGCACGCACGGATGCGGCCCCAACCGACGCGGTCGAGCTCGCACTTGATGGCTCGGATGATCAAATCGAAGATGGGCGCCTGCAGCGCGCCGCTCAGCGGGCAGCCGTGAGCGACGCCCGGCTCGACAATGAACAGAGCACGTCGGATTCCGCCCATCTCGAGGATGGTGAGCGGCGCGTGCTAGCGGGATCGAAGCAGCTCGAGCCTGGGTCCTTGGATGCCCACGCGTTCGAGGACCTCCAACAGGAAAAAACCGCACCCTGTGAACGCTTAAAAGGGGGGGCGTTCGGAACCGAACCCCTCCCGCCCTGGATTGAAACTTGCACGGAAGGGTTTGAACCCTCCTCTTCCCACCCCCCCCCTCCTGTCACAAGGGGGGGTGGTCGAACCCCCTCCCTCCCCCCCCCTCCCATCCTCCCGTGGTGGTGGTGGTGGTGGAGGTAGTGGTGGTGGTGGTGGTAGTGGTGGCAACGACTGTTGTGGTTGTAGGTTGTGATGGTGGTGGTGGTGCCAGTGGTGGTGGTGGTGTTGGTGGTGTGGTGATTTGGGGTGGTGGTGGTGGTAGTAGTTGTAGTGGTAGTGGGCTGTGGTGGTGGTGGTGGCGGTGGTGGTGTGGTGGTGTGTCGTGGTGGTTGTGGTGGTGGTAGTGGTTGCGGTGGCGTTGGGGGTGGTGGCGGTGGTGGCTCTAGTGGTTGTGGTGGTGCTGGTGGTGTGGTTTGCTGAGGTGGTGGTAATTGCTGTGGTGGTGGTGGTGGCGGTGGTGGTGGAGGTGATGGTGGCAGTGGTGGTTGGTGGTGATGGTGATGGCAGACGTGGTTGTGGTGGTAGGCTCTGGGAGAAGTGGTGGTGGTGGTGGTGGTGGCGGTGGTGCTGGTGTGGTAGTTTGTGGTGGTTTGTGGTGGAGGTAGTGGTGGAGGTGGTTGTGGTGGTGGTGGGTTGTGGTAGTGGTGTTGGGGGTTGGTGGTGTGAAGATCTGTCGTGGTGGTGGTGGTGGCGGTACTGGTGGTTGTGGTGGTGGTGGTGTGGTGTGGTTGTTGTGGCGGTGGTGGTTGTGGTCGTGGGTGGTGGTGGTGGTGGTGTGGTGGCTAGTGCTGTTGGTGGCGGGTTGTGGTGGTGGTGGTGGGCGTGGTTGTGGTGTGGTGGTTTGTGGTGGTGGTGGCGGCGGTAGTAGTGGTGGTAAGTTGTGGGGGTGTTGGTAGCCGTGGTTGTGGTGGTGGTTGCGGCGGTGGTGGTGGTGGTGGTTGTGGTGGTGTGGTGGTGGTGGTTGTCGTATCTGGTGGTGGTTGTGGTGAACGTGGTGGTCGTGGCGGTGGTGGTGGGGATGGTGGTGTGGTTTGTGGTGGTGGTATTTGTGTGGTGGTTTGCTGTGGTGGTGGTGGTGGCGGTGTGGTGGTTTGTGGTGGTGGTGGTGGGTGTTGGTGGTGGTGGTGGTAGTGGTGGTGGTGGTGGCGGTGGTGGTGGTGGAGTTGTGGATTGTGGTGGTGGTGGCAGTGGTGGGTTGTTGTGGTGGTGGGTTGTGGTCGTGGTGATGGTTGTGTGGTGGTGGTGGGTTGTGGTGGAAATGGTTGTAATGGTGGTGGCCGTGATGGTGGTGGTGGCCTGCTGGTTTGTGGTGGTGGTGGTGAACTGTGGTGTTGGTGGTGGTGGTGGTGGTGCTGGTCTTGGTGGTGGGTGTTGGATGCTGGTGTTGGTGGTGGGTGATTTCTGGTGGTGGTGGTGGTCGTGGTGGATTGTGGTGTTGGTGGTAGTGGTGGTGGTGGTGTTGGTGGCGGTGCTGGTGATGGTGGGTGGTGGTGGTGGGTGGTGGGTGATGCTGGCGGCGGTGGTCGTGGTGGTGCTGCGGTGGTTTGTCGCGGTCGTGGTGGGTTGTGAGGGTGGTGGCGGTAATGGTGGTGTCGATGGTTGTGGCGGTGGTGGTGGTGTGGTGGCTTGTGGTGGTGTGTGTTGCTGTCGGTTGTGGTGTATTTTGAGTGTGGTGGTAGTGACGGTTGTGGTGGTGGTAGTGTAGTGGTTTGTGGTGGTGGTTGTGGTGGTTGTGGTGGTGGTTGTGGTGGTGGTTGTGGTGGTAATGGTAGTGGCGATAGTGGTGGTGGTGGTGGTGGTGTGTGCTTTGTGGCGGTGGTGGTGTTGCCTTCGGGTCTTCCCGCCGCCGTGCCTTGCCTTGGGTTTGAATTCTAATGGGTGCTTCCGGGGTATCGTCAGAAGGGCCCAAGAGCATCTGAGAAGCCTCCCAGGCGGCTCTTGGGCGTCTCCGGGTCGACTCCCGGTGGCTTATGGG